AATAGTTTAAAGGTTACAATTTAAAAAATAATAAGTTAATGGGAACCACGTAACGCCCCAGGTACAGTAATCTCCTTAAGTACACACTACTGAGATATATTGTAGTAACTTGTTTTGACTACTTGTTTTCATTCCATAGGTACCTATTACCTACAGATTGGAAGTTACTCAAAAACATACTGCTATTACTTACCCTCTGCCTCATACCAGTCGTAGCCCTTGATATTTTTTCTAATTGAGGAATCTTTGAAATGTTGATTCCCGAAGGAATCTTCTAATTATTCCAAACAGCTGAATTTACAGTTCCACTAAAGGTCAGACCGAGCCCAGACAGTTTCAGTTCTTATGGCTATGGATACTTGAGAGGAATATTGGCTGTTAATGCGATCCTCTCGCCAATTTGGCTTTCTGCTGAATTTTTAATTGAATGAAAGTCGTCCACGTAAAATTGATGTCAGTCACTTTCTGGCTGACCAGAGTTCGCTATGCTACGAGGCATTCCATAGGATTGATGAAGCAGATGACGTATTCAATACGTGATAGTGGCGGAGCGCCTGGGGGGTGTTGATTGAGTATATTGAAAGGGAATGTGAGCTCTAGAAGGAGGAACTTCGATGAAGTGTTGAGAACGGCAGTCTGGGAAGGAGGAATAAAAATATTGAAATAAGCCGCAGGAAAATATCAGCCATGTCCTCGGATGCACCAAACATCAGACCTCGAATGTAATGGCGTTCAGAGCATTTTTTGGATCGTCGAGTAAGTGATGAAAAAAGAAGTAGCTAGCTCGATTGTGATTGAAACGTTTGTACCCAGTTGTAATCACGGAGAACAAGATGAAACCTAATGGGACTCTATGAAAACTGCATACTTGAACCGAACCGAAGTTGAAGAGTGGACAAAAAAGGAAGGTAATCGAAACTGAAATCAAGCTAGCGAGAAGATAGAAGGGCTTGACTGCGCTGATAATACTTCCAGTAAATACTACTACACAGCACATTCAGTTCCTTCCATCCTCTCGTGCTAGCTTGATTTCAGCTGCGATCAGCTCCCTGTCTAGGCAAAACTAAGCAAGGGTCTTCGTATAAAAGCCTCTAAGTAAAATGATTTAGGGTAAAGTAAAACATTGAATGAGATAGGAACAAAACGAAAATCTACTAGTTTTTGATAGACAGTTAATCCCATATTAGTTAAAACTCCTGCCAAAAGTTTCCCAGATCTCTCTTATTAGAGAAGGGTTCCGAGGTTATAGCATTTGACCCTCTCACTTCCCGAACGGAGGATATTCGTAAAGTGGGATGTAATTGCAACTCATATTTCATATCGGTATTTAAAAAGCTCGCTTACATGCAACATGTTCAGATGGTGTTGTGGAGAAGTGGATAACGACTAGTTCCCGATCCTCCACTGATCGACCAATACTGTACAAGGTAGAGATCTGGAAATAGAAGAGTTTTAAATCATGTTCATCATCGGAGCGAAAAAAAGGGTGATGATGAGTGAAGGTCTTAGAAATTACTACTTTTTCTCCAGCCAATTTGGACCCCTTACCGTTGGAACATCAGAATTCTTCAAGTCTCAGGAATACTATAGCCATCTTGGATTTTTCGCATAAAGTGGACTTTCAAAATTACCCCAAAAAAACCCAAATTCGGTAGATGCTGACGTTCCCTCTTCCA